TTCTCCAGATTTTCTGGCTAATGATTCTTGGCACGTGGCATTGCACTGGTGAAAAGTTATCTCCCGATCAAAAAGCACCTCTATTTGCTCGAGGTTCTGGTGGACTGATCTTGAATACGCCCTTCGAGGACAATAAAGCCAGGAATCGTCCGATCTCAAATGTAAATGCGCCGGTGGACAACGTGCAAAAAGAGGAAACAGAAATGCTGAAATTAGTGAACGGTGAACTAGTGCGAACTGTAAAAGGAAACTTCTCTTATAATAGCCCCGAAAATCTTTTCATTTCTGTTAAGTGAGCAACAATTTTTTATCCTTATCGATTTATCTTTTTCAATAAAATTTTTTTCTTACTTTATATATATCTTTCAAGATACGAGGCTGATGAGAATGGAAATAGAGCCAGCTTTAAGTTTGGTACCGGCGCTGCAAATGATAATCATAATATTCCCTTTGGTTCTGGACATAGAATGAGAGATAAAAATGGTTCTAAATCTAATTCGTACCTACCACCTACAACTGTTACGAAAAACGATGTTAATAGAACCTATCTACCACCACAATAGAATTACTATTAGCTTCTTCTGACTATACTTCTAATGAGCTTTCAATGCTTTAATATTTTGGATAAAAATTTTTTTGTTGATCTTATAATTCAAAAAGTAAATTTTGAATTATAAATTTTTTCTCATAATTCTTCAACATCATGATCTCTTGAACAAAAATTTTATCAATATTACATACTTCTTAATTACTTTATATAATTTATCGATCAACGCAATAACCTAAATGCTTTTAAAATAAGTCAGTGATCTCATGATCATCTTAGAATCATCTTAGAAATTAATTTTCAAAAAGATGATCATTAATGCATTACTCGAATATTATCTTTTTTTCATAGAAAATATTTTCTATTCGAGTAATCGCAAAATAGTTAATGCATTATTGAATATATTAAATTTTTATAAACTAAGAAATAAAATATATTTTTTCACAGATTCTTGCATTACAATTTAATAATCCTATTAATGATTATACCCACCCATTTTTTATAGTAATCTTTCAATTTATATTAATACACACATATACACATATCCTAAAACTTATTTATATGATTTTTGATTACATTTTTATTTATATATCTTTTTCTGTTTCTATTAAATATGAACCTAAAAATAGTTTTTTTTTAATCACATAATATTCGTGAAAACACGATTGATGTATTAGTTTTCGTTTGTACTTGAAATCGTAAAAAATATTTATTTTTACGAAGTTTAATGTTTTTACAAAGAAACAAAATATCTAATAGATATGATGATTTGATTAATATTCATCTTTCAGAACCACGATAAGTGGTATAGCCAAATGGGCTCAGAAGCACCGGTATATGATAATGCCCAGCAGGATTTTTTACGTCAAAAACAATTTCGATAAACGGATACATTGTTTCTATTCTCCTTAGTGTAAAATACTTATCAACATCAAAATGAATTTTATAACGTCCAGCTGTGAAATTAACTTTCATATTATCCACCAAATCTACGCATCGACCATTTGGACTTGTATTACTGAAATAAAAAGATATTGATTTTATATTGATGAAATAAATACAAAAAATATTTGATTCATATGTTATACCTTTCATTTAAAAAAGTCCATCTTCCATCCATTAATTTATAAAGGCTAACCTGCAAACCTCCAATTGGTAAACCTTTACTTGTATCTACGACGTGAGTAGAAATACGAGGCTTTTTAACCGTAGGGGATTTAATAGTTTTTAAAAGTACATGCTAAAACAAATATAATATTTGTAAGTATAAACTTGATAAGAAAAAAGATGTTATTAATTTACAATTAGAAAAACCGACATACTTTTTTCGGACTTTGATAACTAGTACTTGCTACAGCTAGTTGATCCTTGGTTATTTGAACGCCTTTTGTGGCGTCCTCTGCTTGATTAGCTGCAATTGCAGTTTTCTTATCAGCCATTACCAACGTAGGAAATTTACCCTTTAATTTACTCAGTACATACTGAGTACCAGGCTGGAATGTACCACCTGTTAAAGTTAAAGTTTTGCCACCCGATGTTAAAGTAATCGTTTTATTTTGTGCAGGTGCAATGGGAATTGTATTCACAGGTTGAAGCACACCAATTGTGTTAGTAGTAGATGCAACCGAAGAATTAATTTGATAAGCTGTGCCTAAAATAGGCAATGGACATGCCATCATTATTCCTGAATCTTCTTGCTGTTTACATTCATTTTGCTAAAATATCAATATTTTATTAAAATTTTCTATTTAACATTTATTTATAATAATATTTTTATATTGTTATATATAATATTTACCAATAATTTTGCAGATTTTCTGTCTAATTTACCGTCATTTCGCCGAATTGTTCTTCCATTTTCACGCAATTCCTTTGGTGAGTCTTTATTAGAATCTTCTGTGTCAGGAAGAATCGATACAACTTGCATTTCTGAATTACTTTGATCTTCTGATTCTACAACCATTTCCATTTGTACAGTTCCATGATTATCTGTTTCTTCTAAATATTCACTTTGCATATGATCCATAGCCTCAGTCAAAGAATCCTCACAATTTTCCTATCAATATAATTAATTATTAATATAATATAATCATTAATAAAATCAATATAATTAAATCATTAATATAATATATATTATTAAAATAAACTTTAAGAAAAAATCAATTGTATAACTATAATTACTTACCACTCTTTCTATTTTAATTTTTTTTATAGAATGTTTAACATCTTCTTCATCAGAAGGCATTTGTAAATGTGATACATCTTCTTCTTCTTCCTCTTCTTCTTCATCTTCAACTTCACCTCCAACATCTTCACTTGGATCTTTGATTTGTGCCTCATCCAATTCATCATCTGTTTCTAATCTCTCAACAACATATTCCACTTCATCTTCATTTTCTTCTATTTCAGTTTGAGTATGTTCTATAGCCTAATGTTTCAATCGATTTTTATTAAAATATTGCTTAATACAATATCTACTTATAGATATTCAAATATGTATATATATAATATATATTTTTCATAATATCTTATATGTATTTAATAAATAAAAAATTATTTACTTAATTTACTTTAACTTACAATTAATTTATAACTTATTAATATAATATTAATATTAATAAAATAATAATATTAATATAATTAAAATATATTAATATAATTAAAAATAATAAACCTCAATTTCTTCAACTTCTTCTATTTCAACCTCTTCTCCTATATTTGCCTTTCGGGCTGCAGCCTTCTTTTTTTCTTCCGCTTCGTGTAATAGAGCTGCACGTTGATGTTTCATCGTACATGTATGTTTTAATAAAGACAGTCGATGCGCATGAAGATTTTTCTTGCAATACATACAATAGGCACGTGTTGGTTGAAATGGTACGGATGTCAACCATCCTACGGTAAAATATCATATCAAGTATTTTTTTCTTATTTCGTAAATATAATTTCTTCTTTTAAAGGATTGCGATACAATTTCCCGTGCAACGTGCAGTTTCACTAAACACACTTTAACCGTATGGTAACATCGATTTGAAGATTGACTTAACCAGTAGTATTTTTACTGGTAACTTATTAACGCTAGTGACATGATACATATACAACAGTATTCAGTAATCATGCTGTATACTGATGAATACAATCTATTAAATTTTCTTATCTTTATAAAAAATTTCATATTCAAAATTATTTAAATATAAATATTAAATCATAGATTTAAAATATTTAAATACAATTAATTATTTCATAATTGTTTATTTTGTATAAAAATAGATGTGTATTCGAAATAATAAATGATAATCATGTGTAATTTTAAATTTTAATGAAGAAACAAAGTATCAGAATGTCATGTCTAAATGGAAATGTTTAAAATTGAAAAATATATCCAGCAGTTCTTGGTGTAACGAAGAAAAATCAAATATATGCGAGAATCGTTTACTCTCTAAAAATAATTTGTTAATCAAAGTTGATGCTGGTTAAAGCCGTGACGAAACGAAGTTGAAACGATTATTGTATGCATGTATCCAGCATGGCACATATACAGCGCATTATAGAAATGAATATTTTTCTTATTCGATAGTGAGCTATTTTAAAACAAGCAATAAATAATAACAAGGAGTACCTTTAAAATCAGGCATTTGTTCCCATTCTTTACGATATCGTTGCGTATAGACACGCGTCTTGGCATGGCTGATTTTTCCTGTTGGAGTAAGACGCTGACCAGTCGTCGTTAGAAGATTGGTATGTAACACAGTCTCGCTGGTCGTAATCATTGTTGGTTGCCTCTTCTTCTCCATTCCTTTCGAATCAAGACCAATTCGAAATCGCCCGGATCTCAAAATACCCAAAATCGTAACACGAAATCACTAAATAGTTTTTTCCACGATGAAAGGGAGAGGGGGCACACGGTAAGCACCGAGATCCTCGCCTAGCCTAGTATCCAAGTTAACTCCCTAGCAATGGCGGACAGCTGCAACACCGCAACGATGCAAACTTCTAACCCCCTCTGCTCTTCATCATTCTGCTGCCAACGACGCAACTTACACTGCCGTATAAAACGTTACTTGCACCCCATTCTATATTTTTTTTTTTCATTTATATAAAAATAAGATTTGATAACATTCATATATTTTAATGATTGTTTGAAACAAGAATTCAAATTATGTTTTTTCTTATTAATATATTATATATATTTATAAAATTAAAATTATTTCTGAAAATATTTATTATTATAAAATTGATATTTATGTTAATTAAAATATTAATGTTATTCAATTAAATTAACTTTATTAACAACAAAAAATAAAATATTCGCATGTGTAATCATTTATTTTATTTATAGAAAACAATAATTGTAATAATTATATATGTATTCCAATTACTATTATATATTTATTTTTTAATTAATTGTATATTAATTTTTTTAATATATATTTTCATTAATTATGTTATTCAATATATATTCAATATAATTAAATATTTATAATCACATTCAATTTTACATTTTTATGTAGCATATTTTACTATTTACGATACTGTTTTCAGTAAGATTTACGAAACTATTGGTCAAATCGATATGCGTGCGCACGTCAATGATATTCCATATTAGGCGGGAAAGATAATAATTGATTATATGTTAAAAAAACATAAATTTTCATTTAAGAATTAATTATAAAATATTTTTCATATATTAATTATATAAATTATATATTCTAGACTAAATAATATAAGAATAAATAAGAAATAATTTTATATAAAGTTTACACTCTAAAGCGACATCTAGATGGCCCTGAATTAATGAATTAATATTAGCGCCTCCTATACAATGAATGTATATTGAAAATATCTAAATTAAGGAAAATCTTTAATATAATATAAATTATTTTCAAAAGTATACAATTATTTTTATAATTTCTATCTATTTTATTTTATTTTTTCATTTTTTTATTTAATATAATTATAAATAGATATTAATTTTCATTAAAAATAGTTATATGAAATATAACTATAATATATTTTTAAAAATATTGAAAACTATAAAACTTTTTTAAATTTGTTGTTAATTTTATTTCTATACGAAATAAGTAAATACATATATTAATCAAAATTTAGTAAGTTTCACATTAGTGAAACTTGATATGCATTTA